AAAAGCAAAATAAGAAACATATTTCACTTCTTCACCTATAAATTCCTAACATCAAATAAACCCCTCACATATTTCGTTCCACCTTAACCCATTACTTGCACAAAATATTCATATCAAATTATAATAAGGTAAATATATATATAAATTAAATATGTTTGAGCGAAAAAAGTCGATGTTCAAACATTTGTCACGTTTCTTTTAATTTAGAATAACAGTTGGTTTCGATAAGTTTAGGGGACGTGTGGTAGTTGGTTTGTAATTTTGAATTCCGCATAACTAAGACATATCATAAATAAGTTATGAGAAATATGATGTATAATTTATACATGATAAAAGGTGGAAAAAATAATATTTGTATAACTAATACCTACATAAAATAATACATACATAACTAATTTCTATATTACTAATATCAATATAACTCTAATTAGCTACCAAACGATCCTAAGTTTTACCCCGTGAACATGATAAAATTTCAATACGCTCAACCTTAAAAGGAATCAAATTAAAATATTGAGAGATTCTCAAACTAGAAATACCTTAATCAAATAGGACAATGAATATTGTAACGTTGAGAATTCATTTTTTAAAAAGGGAATAAAGCCACAAAATAGTCAATTTATATTTAAATTCCAACTACTAATTAATACCACTCTTGAATTGCTGTACCAAATTAAAATGTGCAAAACTAGAGGACAATAGTTTCCAATTGTTTTACAAACAACTAGCAAAGGAAAATTCCAGAAAAAAAAGAGTAAAGTTTTATTTAAAATAGATATTATTAAATTATCATAAAACAGTAGTTATGATATTATTTATATGTGAAGAAATAGACAATTGCATCTATGTCCTTATCCTAATTTGATTGCATGGTTTGAGGGATAGTGATATTAAATGATAAAAAAAGATAATGTTTTTTTATATTATATGTTTGCCTATTCATTTTGACATCAAACCCCACAATATATATTCCCCTATCATGAAGCTTCATTATCTCTATATATTGATTATGACCCACCATTTATAATATCTTTTTCCTAGCTTTCATCATCCAACTAATCAATTCATTCACAATTTTCCTGTGCAATTGTGCATTCATTTATATTAACCAAGAAAAGAAAAAAAAACATAGGTAAAGTGATTTACTGCTCAATTGGGATTTTCTATTGCCCAAATATAAATATTAAATATCGAATGTAAAATAAAAAAATTGCACAAAAAACAGATATTTAATTGTATGGTTTAATTTTTAAATAAATTAATTTTAATTTTTTTTCTTTTAACAATTGAATTTATGCTTAGCCGGATATACACTTTTTGAAGGGTGAATGATATAACTTATAAAATATTATAAAATAAAATATAAATTTATGCTTGATACTAATAATTTATTTTAAAGAAAAACATAGAGATCATGATAGATATTGTTCTGAAACTCAAGAGTTGTGGTGGAGTGGTAAGTACTCCTTCATTTTTAATCAAAAGGTCTCGGGTTTGAGTCTCCATTGCTAGGGAGCGCTTTACCCCAATGTGGAACTTCTCGGCGCAAATTCGAATTAATCAAACTCTAATATAGGTACTGAACACCGGATGGAAAACCAAAATAAACCCAAAAACTTCTTGATAATGAAATTTGAGTTTTTTTACAAAATTAGATCCAACGGATTCTTTTCAAAAAGATTGTAACTGATGATTCTAACCTTTGACGAGTTGACTTGGTGATTATTCCATTAATAGTATAATAGTATCTTTTGGCAAAAAAAATGTTAGAAAAAAGGCATACATATTTAATATTTAAATTATATATACACAAAAATGAAGTTTGGAAAAATGATATAAAATTTCCAAGAAAGTTGAAAAATATGAATATTCTAGTAGACTTTGGCACCACAATTAGTTAGATTTAATACAGATAAGTTAGTTTTAAATACTCTTTACCAACCATTGGCCCCATGTTATCTATTGACTTCTCAAATTTTCAAAAAAATGCTTAACATAATATATAAATGTATTTAATTTGATCTCAATTAATATATATTTTCTTTATCCAATAATACTTATTTACTATACTAAAAATATATGTCCAAAAATACTTGTCAATTTTATAAAATCCATGGATAATTTTACACTAATTTATCCTTATCATTAATTATAGTCATTTCCCTATTAAATTTTTCAAAATATTATATTTATTATATTCAAAGGGTAATATAGTAAAATTACTCTTCTATTTATAATTTCTTCAGAAGTGTGCCAAATCAATAATGGACAACTATTATCGGACAGAGTATGTTTTTTAATTTTAGGTGTTACAAGTAACAGGATGGCTAGTTTTACGATGCTCCATCTTTTTGTCTCGTTTATTGGAGAAAAATATGTAGGTGCAAGTGCAATTAGCAATATTTTTGGGGATCCAAAAAAATGGATCCCAACTTCTCAAAATGTGTTGAGGGGACTCCCATTATTTCTTGGGATACATGCAACAATATTCTCCAATTCGTTTTAATTTACGTGCTATAATTTGAGTTAATAGAATTTATGTTGCTAAAAGGAATTTTTTTAAAATTTGTGATTTTAAATATATTAACTTTTTGCGTGGTTATAAGGATTTTTATTAAGTGTAGATGAAAGATTTAAGATTAATTATTTTCAAATTTAACAATCTCTTAGTTTCTAATTTATCCTTATTATTAATTATAGTTATTTTCCTAATATATTTTCAAAACATTATATTTATTATATTCAAATAGTGATATTGTAAAATTATCTTTCTATTTATAGTTTCTTAAGAAGTGTGCAAAGTCAATAGTAAATAATTATTGTTGGACAAATGGAGTAATTAGCGGTACACCCATGAAAAACATAGAAGTGTTATTGTGGTGTTGGTACAAGCTAGAGGATCCACCTTGAGACCTGAGTTCGAATCCAACTAGAGTATTTATTTCATTATTTTTATTTAAAATTTTTAAGTTTATCTTAGAGCTCATATTTGAGCTAAGATAATATTGATGCGTTTGAGGGCAATCCTTTTTTTTTTTTTTAAAACAAGAGTAAAAATAATGAAAGCATTCTGAGATTATTATTTTAAAAGCAATCAATATCACTGATACCTTTATCATCGAAAACTTACCTTTTTATCATAAAAAAAAGTATTGCAATAATGGAATTATGTAATTCTGCGCTTTGAATGATGAAGAAATATTTTATAATGGTTAATTGATTAAGTTTGGTAAGGATTTGGTCATCATGAAATTAGAATTAAATGTTGATGCTTGACACTTGCAATTTTAATTTAAACAATCATCACTCTTTGTAAATAATAAATCTCCCATATATAAATTTTAATAATCTAATTGATTTACCTACTTTCAATTAAAAGTCAACACGGTTGAATCATTAAAAATAATTTGGTCATTTTGATCTTGGATTATATATCTCACCAAAATGCTTGAGATAAAAAATGGATTAATTAATATTCCTTTCATTTCAAAATAAGTGAATTATTGATGCAATGAACCCTCGCTAAGAAAAATTGTTTAGGACATAATCATCACTTTTCACTTTTAGTTATTCTCAAACTATTCTTGAAAATATAAATAATTCAAAGTAAAATCATAAATATGAGTAATTAACTCTCTTTGAGATTATTACCTAAAAAATACTTATAAATGAAGGACAAGAATGAAAAAAACAATTCCAATAATTTTCTTAAATTTTGAACAATTCACTTATTTTAAACTATGAAAAAGCTCCAACAATTAACTTATTTTTGAAACAGAGAGTGTAATTAACTTGTTGTTTCTGGAGATGTCTTTTGGGTAATATTCGCTTTATTAACATGGACCACCAAAAAAATATGGTATCATGTCATTAATCAGAAATTTCGAGTTTAAATTTAGTGTATACAAAAGTTTTTAATAGAAAACACTTTTCCTAAAATGAAATTCTATATATTATAAATTCAAATTAATCGAATTTTAATACAAATATTAAATATCAAATTGAAAAAGAAGAAGATGGACTATGGTTCTTTTCGTGGTTCTAATATTCAAAATTGATGCTATTGAAAATATTGTATTTTATTTTTTAAGTTGCAATATTCATCATATTTCAAAAATAAAATGAAACTATTACGTGTTGTACATAATTTAATTTCTTTTTATCATTTTTTTAATTTGGTGTCGAACATTTATGTTGAGTTATGACTAATTTGAATTTGTACCAAATTATAAATTTTTATGTTGAATTAACTTTTTCCTTTTTATGTTGATTTTTTGCTTTTTAATTTTGAACAATTGAAGCACTTGCATTGAAGTTTGCGCTGGAATCTCGTGATTATACTATATGATATGGAATGATTATAAATTAAGATAAGGTTAAATTAAGATAATTACTTTTCATTTAAAGAAAAAAGATAAATTAATACTACAAAAGGAAAATAATTAAATTATGAGGGCCGTACAAATTAGGTAAATGGTCAAAAAAAGAGAAGGCGAGTGGCAAGAAGGTAAATAAGAGGAATCGAAAGGGCAAAATTAAAGAAGGATGTGGGGTAGCCGTCATCGGTGCGTGGACGAAAAGCAACCGAAAGTAAAGGAAAAAAGTTGCAGACAAAACAAAACTAACCAAACAAACACAAAACAAATAAAATAAAAAAATTGTAAAAAAAAAAACAGATAATAAAGAGAGAGAAATAGAAGAATTTGTCATCATGTATTAAAAACTGACTAAAAAATCCTGTTTACACTTTACTTTCATGTCAGTTTGTACTATATTTACTATCTTCAATAAAATAAAATAATAAATCGGTATCATATATCTAAATTAAAAACATCACTTATTTTGAAACGAAGTTTGCAGATTCGCGGAGCTCAAATTGATGTGCTTGTTTAGTGGTCCATTAATTTTGATACATTACAATTCCAAATTTACCCCTAGTATATGAGTATTATTACTTTTGAATCCTTTTGGGTTGTCATAAGTTCAAGTCCACGTGTCCAGTTTATAAGAACTCTTCCATTTTTTTCTCTTTCTTCATTCTGTACAGTAAAAGGAGCAGAGAAAAAGAAGAACAAACAGAGTCATCAAAATTTGGGGAAAATTCTTACAAGAGAAACGCATAGATTTTGATTTGAGGAAAAAAAGGGGTGGTGTTGAAGTGGATTTGTGATGGTAAGGAGTGTTTGGTTGTGAGTAAAATTCGGTTTTGTTTGGGTTTTGGGTGGTTAGAGAAAAGAGCGAAAGAGAAGGAAGATTGGAGATATGAATAGAGGAGGAATTGGAATTGGAGGGCCAATGCGAAAGTCCTTTAAGGACTCTCTCAAAGTTCTTGAAGCTGATATTCAGCATGCTAATACTCTGTGAGTCAACTTCTTCTTCATCATCAACATCCTTAAAAAAACAGAACTTTTTTGTTCATCCTTCGTTTTGTTGCTCTTGTTTATCTGTTATGCTTGGGGATGAATCTTTATTGTTGTTTTCTGGAGTTTTACTGTCATTCTGTAACACCCTTCCTTTTTCACTTGAGAGAGATTTTATGGTTTCAGAGTCCAGACCATTTCAAATTTCAAGTTTGCTTTTGTTTTGATAATTCCGTTCAGAGGTGATTTTTCTGTTTTTTTTTTCAATTTGTTTGGTGGTCTATTTTGTTGTGAATGATTTTTATGATATGGGTTTTTTTTTTTTTTTGCTAAAAAGTTTGAAGCTTGCTTCAAACTTTTTCTCTGATTTTTCTGTTTCTTGATTTTCATTTCTAATTCTATGAGTTCTTTTTTCTACTGTTCTTTATGCAAATTGAAAATTTTGTGGTTAGATTTGCTAAGATTTGGTGGCAGTGATGACACTGTTTTCGCCTTTCCCTTTTTGTTTTTTTCTGTGTTAAGAATTGTGGTGCTTTTGAATAAGGTTGTTATCAGTGTTTGTTTTGAGTTCACTTCTTTAATTGCTTCAAACGGAGATAAAGTTGTCATTTTAAGGCTAATCTGATGCTTAGCTTGTAAAAGCGGCTAAACTCTAATATTATGATTAATATGTTGCCTTTGTTTATGATTCCAAGGCATACCTTCATCTTGACTATATCCATTTTAGGTACTTACTGTAAGGTAAGTCTTCTAGTTTTCCCACTTTTTTTTGTGGGTGGGTGGGTGTGGGGTAGAGGTGCTTATTTTTGTAATGGTGTGTAATTCCTTGAATTTCAATTTGTTGCAATGTGGTTACATAGCTGAACAATCATAAGAGGAAGTAAATTGTTGCATTGTCCATTCTGTATTCCTTGTTTCTGCCGTTCCGTTTTTTTCCCACTTCCCTCCTTTATTAGTGGCATTTGCAATTCAGTTAGGTTGGTTTGATGAACTTTTCTTTGTTCTGTATGGTGAACATGTTTGTCTGGACCTGGTAATTCAGTGTTTAGTTCTTCCTTGATAGTTCTGTCATTTGGAATGTGATTGTTGGAATTTGGGTGCAGGGCATCTGACTTTCCCCGAGAGTACGATGGAGCTTGCCTACAGATGAGAATGTCCTACAGTCCAGCAGCTCACCTATTCCTTTTCTTAGTGCAGTGGACTGATTGCCACCTTGCTGGTGCCCTTGGATTGTTGAGAATTCTTATTTACAAGGTATGGATTGTTCATGTTCATGCATTGCTAATTCCTTCTATTTCAAGCTGTTTTTCATGCTGCAATAACGTGGCGTTGGACTGGATTTTTCTTTGGGCTCTAGGTTTATGTTGATGGCACCACAACCATGTCAGTTCATGAAAGGAAAGCAAGCATTAGGGAGTTCTATGGTGAGTTTCTACAATTTCCTTCATATTTACATTCATGTGAACTGTTAAGATAAATCAGCTATACTGAATAATGGTTGCTAATCATCATTAATCTTGTGCAGCTGTTATTTATCCCTCCTTACTTCAACTTGAAAGAGGTGTTACTGATTCAGAAGACAAAAAACAAAAAGCAGTTTGCCAGGAGAGATACAGGAGAAGAGATGATGAGGATTACAGACAATCTTCTGACTCGGATATTGAAAGGGAAGACGAATGTGGAATCTGCATGGAAATGAACAGCAAAATTGTCCTTCCCAAATGCAATCACGCCCTGTGTTTGAAATGCTATCGTGAATGGTATGTTTAATGTTGCAGTTTGTGTGAGATAGAAGATGTGTGTTAAGTTTAACTACTATATTCAGTTTTCTATGATCGGTGGGGTGGGCCTGGTAAATTTCGAGCCACTTCTGAAGACGTTAACTCTCTCATCCCACGCCAACTCCACATTTCCTTTGCACTCTTTCTAACCCCTTCATACACTTAAATGTGTTACATAACAGCTGCCGATTGCTACCTGGTGTGAGGTCCTGTGGGTGGTCCCTCTATTAGGTAGTCTGGGGCTTTCTTTCTCTATTTATCAGGCTAGCTATTTCAAAGACGTCTAGGGTAGGAACAAGTTAATAGCTAGGTCTGGGTTGTTAAAGGGTTAGGTCAGTATTTAATTTCTTGTGTGCATGTTAGCCACATAACTTAATGATACAAAAGTCTTTTTAGTAAGCTGGTTCTTTTGTACCTTAGTTTTTGAAATTCATTATAGAGATGACATGCTTAGGAAAATGCCTGCATCTGTATCTCCCCTTCCTTTTGTATGGTTGGCAGTTTAATAAATTATGATAAATGCTTCAGATGGGTGTCAGTTTCCCTGTGTCACGGCATAGTTAAGCAGAGCATGGTAAAATGGAGCTACGTCAAGTGATATAGCTATATAGCTTAGGCTGGTCTGCTGTGTGTGCTTATACATTCTTCTTTATTGTTTTCATGTCTTTATGATGCAGTGCCCATGTGCAGGGGAAATGCACTATCCTAAATTGTAACTATTATTTCATTTTATTGAGGGAGTATTATCAGTGTTAAATCTCTATATAAAACTAGCAGTCATCATCTTAACTATCTGTATTTAGGAAACATGTTACAGCCAGTGTGATTTTTCCTGCTAATCAGTAACTCTGAATTGTCTGAGAAGCTGGAGTGCATCTCTGCTCTTTCCCATCACCGTAATACTGGGTTTCAGTGTCATCTTTTGAACATACTGATCCGAGATGTTTTCTTCTGAGAATCTCCCCTGCACGTGGGTGGCATGGAGAACATCACTAATAATTAGTCAAATGAAAAATTGGTGAATTAAATGCGAAGAGGCAGACCTCCACCTCCTAACTGAGCCTCCAAGTTTTTTTGCTTGATGATGACAGATTTTTGTACAATATAGAGATCCTGCAGACACCTAGATGTGCTGCTATTCCGCAGATTGTGGGGGCTATTCACACAAACCTTGCAGCTAGGATTAGTTTCCTAGTCCATGTAAATATGCTTCATCCATTTAACTGCATTTGGAGTAGTCAATGATATTAGGTAAAGATATCTCTACAGTCCTAGGTTGCTGCCTTTCCATGGGGGATGTTTCTTAGGAGAAGTGGGATAACAGGTTTCCCATGGCCCTTTAAAGCACTAGAGGAGGCATGAAGTTACTGCTGGATATAAGTTGCCTCACCATTTGGGGTGAAGTAAATACGGTCCTGCTATATCTTATTCAACTTTATGAAATGAAACAGGGGAATACTATATTCTGGCACCAAATTGATGGAATTGCGTCTTACAACCTTGGGTAGCCTGGTGCACAAAGCATCCTGCGTTAGCAAGGTCCGGGGAATGGCCGCACTTCCAAGGGGTGTTATGTTGATAGCCTATTATAATGGAAACATTAGTGGCTTGTTCGATGGCTCGAACTGTGATCTATAGATCACACGGAGACAACTTTACCATTGCGTCTTACAACCTAATGGGAAATTATTAAGAGGGAAGAAAGGGAAAAGCACAGTGGCGCATTTCTGCATTCTGAGTAGGTTAAATTGATTTTAAGCTGTAGCAATCTCCTAAATAGTGGAGTATTCGAAATTATTAATTTCCTGTGGAATGCGATATATGGAACTTAGTAGTACCATTTTCTTGTTAAGGCCCTCTTTGGGGAGAATAGCAGCTCTTGCTGGTGGTCAAGTACTTTCTTTTTTGGGTCACTATTGCACTCGTTTCTACTAGGGCGTCGTACTTTATTACTCTGCAAAATATGTATATTCAGCATTTTCTCTCCTTTCTGTACGGCTAATTTTGCTTGTACAACTACTCAAACTGAGAGTTATCTAATACAATGCATTGCAGGCGTTCGAGGTCACAATCATGCCCTTTTTGCCGCGATAGCCTTAAAAGGGTAAACTCTGGTGATCTGTGGGTATACATGGACAACAAAGACATCGTGGACATGTCAACGATAACAAGGGAGAATCTGAGGAGGCTATTCATGTTTATAGATAAGCTACCCTTGATCGTTCCAGATAATGTTTTTGATCACTATGATACTCATATAAGGTAGATGAACAATGCTTTCATTGGGGGGGATTGATCATACTAAAGATCAAGAAATTGGTCTCGCTAGATTTAGAAATGCAGGTGGATTACTTTATCACCTTCTGATTAGAAGAACCCGACCGAGTCATCGTGGTGCAGGGGTTGAAGCCAAGTTAGATTAGCCAAAAAAATGGAGCTTTTTAATTGTACCTCCTAATTTGTACATGCCTGTACAGTTCCAGTTTAACTTCTTGAAAACACAAGTGTACCCTTTTGTTGTTTGTTTTCTAATCTTCAAGTATGCCATAAATGCCAGCATTTGAGCTTTCTCAAGTGCAGAGTTTTATGGTTGCTATTTATAAGAGTGTATAATATATGATGTACTTAGATACCAATCTGTAATTTTCCCTTTTTTTTGCAAGCATTTGAAGTAAGGTATTGCTGTTAATTTCTTACCCAAGGATATGAAATGGTTCAGAAAATGAAAAAGTTCGCATAGGATTTTCACTAGGCATCTCCAACACTTAATTTTACTCTCCAAATATAGCGTTCTCTATTTTTTCATATAATCAACTCCAACCCAATTCTCTATTTTACTCTCTAAAAAAGAATCTTCTTTTCTCTCCTCAATATTATATTATTATTTCTATTTCATTTTTGTTTTTGTATTCCATAATATAAATCTTTTTTTCGGAATAATCATCCTATATAATTTCATGTAATATAAAATTTTAATTTTTTGAATTTTTTTATTTAATATTAAATTATATTTTATTCTAGATTTTTAAAGAACAACTACGAATAATTGATAAAAGAAATCAACAAGCACAACTGCTATAACAAGCACAACTTCTCTAAATCATACACTAATTCCTTTTTCGAATATCGTTAAATCTAAAAACGACCTATCGGACTACTAAATTATTGTTGTGATTTTTAAAATTATTATGTTATGCATTGTATTGTATTGTTATCTTGTATTTAAATTATTATGTTATGTATTATATTTTTAAATTAAATTTTTTATCTTATCAATTAAATTTTGTGCATTCTTCATAGTGGAAATTAATAATAACATCAAATTGTATCACAAAGTGATGAAAATATTTAAAAATATTTAAAATATTATTAATTCGAGATGAAAGTAGTACATATCAAATAAAATATTTTTAAAATTGTTATATTACATTTAAAAAGAATTGTAAATATTAGAGATTTAATTAATAGCCTTAATATGAAAAATAATATATTAATTACAAAATAGTAGAAATAATAATATAATTATTCAAAAAGTGAAACAGAGAGTATGAATAGTAGTTCTCCAAATTTTGGAGAACTACTATTCAACTCTCTATAATTGGAGAGTAGAGGGTAAAATAGAGAGTGGTTGGAGAGAACATTCTCTATTTTTCTCTCCAAATATAGAGAATGGAGAGTAAAATAGAGTAGGGTTGGAGATGGTCGGGTTTAAAATACGAAGAAGTCGAAAGGAGTTTAATATGTAATGGGATGGAACTGTAGGGCCTTTTAGCAGGGTTATGGTTAGCACTTTCATTTCCCTTTTTTCCTTTCTTTTCTTTGTTCAATATTCAATAATTTACTTTGACAGTAACATACATATCCAACATATATAATTCACTGTGATACCACTTAAAACATAAAAGTTGCAAAACAATACTACTATTTTAAATATACAAATATGGTCTCATCTGTTTCTGAATAAAAACTCATTCTTAAGCAATTGGAGAAGCTACATAGCATAACCAATACTGCCTAAGCAGTATATCCTTGGTCCCAAATCCCAATCACCAAACTTCAAGTTCAATATTTCAGTTGTGCTTACTTAATGCTGCCACAACAACCTTTTTCTTTCCTTAAAGGAAAACTTCATTCACTTCAGCTTTCTGCAAAAACTGGAAAACTTTAGTTACATAAGAAGCCAAAAAAAAAAACAAGCAAGTTACAAGATTTTTCAATTCTAACAATTGAACAAACCTTTTGTCTTCCAAAACTCAAACATTCTTGTAGACAGAATGTGGTTCAATATGAACTGGTTCACCAATAACATATGGATACAGAGGATTTGGTGGCAGTTCCGGAGGGCGAAGAAGTGGAGCTGATGGTTCTGCATATTCGCCTTCATACTCATGACTATTTTCCTTAACTTGCCCAAGAGTTCTTAGAATTGTAGCCAATAAGATACAACACCCCTGCTTATGATCATTTCTTAGTTATTAAGAATCATGTAACTAATTTGAACCAAGAAAAAACATACTAAAATTCTTGAAGGTGGTTGCTTTTATTTCTTACCTGTGTTAGAACACAGAGCAGGGCAATCCATTGGCAGATATCGCTATTCGAGTCCACAAAATCCTTGAAATCATCAAACCTTCCTGATGGATCTTCTGGTAAATCCTGATTTAGGTAAAACATAGTGAGAGCATAGGAGAGAAGCAATTGTCCAAGCCTTGGCGGGACAGAGTTACCCGGTACATAAAAGTTTTAAGTTGTACAAACACATCTATTCGTGAAAAAACATGACTATTATGAAAATGAAAAGTCATTTCTATAAGAAAAATCTGCAGGTATAAACATGATCTTTGTTGTTTCCTAAAGGAAATTGCTTGTATTTTCCCCAATCTGTATACGAGCAATATCTCTTTAAGGAAAGTCTATTCTTTCACGCCTCAAAGTCATTTCTTCTTCAATTATATTTTTCTACTTTTCTTATAAGCTACCCTATGGAATTAGTCGAGGTGTTGCAACAAGGTTGTTTGTTGATGTTTTGATCAATAGAATACAGAAAGATAAATTTGAATATAACAATATGATAAAAGATTTCTTAGATGCATACCTTCTCCCAGTCAGAGTTCAAGAAAACATCAGCTGTAATTGCAATCTCTGCTAAAAGAAGCACAAATATGATGAACATATACTATAAGTATAGTTAAGGTCCATTCTTTTTTCTCTCTATGCAGTTTCTTTTTTTCCAACAACCAAAAATAAATTTCCTGAAAGAGTATATATGAGAAATATAAAGAAAAAGGATACTAATGAGAGGCAATAGGAGTTGGAAGAGTTTGCTGCAACATGACCAAGGAAAGTGATTGCACACAAAGCAGTGCCAACACCAAGAAATGCATGGATAAACCTGTCATTATTTCACCACTGTGAGTATTAGCACAGATTCCTTCGTTGGAAAATTATACTGTATTGTAAAATAAAAAAGAAAGTTAAATACCCAAGTTTCTTAGTTGAGAACTCACCAAGGAAATTGAGCATAATCAGGGGATGAAGGTGAGTTGGCTGCATCGCGCTGCCAAACTCTAATCATCCATATACCATAAATAAGCATTGCAATGCCCATAAATCCTATTGTTATGTTTGTGATCTTGAGGGATAATCGCAGGCAACTCTTTACAAGTTTTACCATCTTGAACTTTAAACAGAAACTGTTTCATTCACTTAGGAGGGGAAATAGAAGGTAAATAGCTCTTTATGTTTGAAAGGATACTTTGAAGAATGCATAAAAAAGCATATTGATGTGATTTGTAACTGTTTGGGTTGTTGATTTTTTAAAGAAATAATAGTGATGGTGGCATGCCTAGATATGCAAAAATTGCCCAGATAGGCTAAGAAAAAAAAGGAAGTTTCCAAGAAAGAGCTTATTGTTATCTACCAAGTTGGAGGACCTACTGAATTATGAGTTGCTTGTTTAGCCTATATAAACCCAAAATGGATCTTTGTCCAAAGATGTGGTCAAGGATAAGAACTAGCTAATTTCAAATTTTCATGATAACAACATCACAAGATTTTAAAGGAGAGCTAGGGATATATTATTGACAAAATGATTCAATGTAGATATTATGTTTATATCCACAACGGCTTAAGTCATCCACGACCCCTTAAAGTTATCCGCATAATTCATTTAGACACCTCAACTAGGACTCTTACCTATTAAACACTTTAATATTAACGAATATTTATCTATTGAACATAAAATGACAACTAGCTTTACAAATATTTTACGTGTAATTCACACACATTTTCTTGAAAAAATCACAAATAGAATTACGACACGTGGCACATGGGTCCAAATTTTTAATTTTGAAAAATGAAAAATATTTTCAGCCTTTAATAATCTAGAAAAATTAAATTGAAAAAAAATAAAAAAGAAAATTTCTCCCCCCACTTGAGCCATTAAATTTCTCCCCCTACTTAACCCATTGCCCTTTCTTCTTTATCTTCTTCCCTGTCACTCCACCATGACTCCTTAACGATAACAAAAAAGAAAATATCTCCCACCCAGCCCTAATACACCCACCTAATCTTTTGCCTTCTTTTTCTTCCCTTGTCACTCATTGTATTCTATTCTTCTTGTGATTATTGAAATTTTTGTGAAAATAATCAATGTAGATAAATTATTTCAAAAAATTGACGATGAAGAGAAATCAAAAGAATATCAATTTTTTTTACCATTTTTAATAAGTTTAATGAACGGTGATGGTTGCTTGATCGGAGTTATTGAAAATAGAGATGCATGAATGTCGGCAAACTTTTTAACTCCAATGATCCGATTATTTTCCTTCTTCTTGCAAATTCAATTAGTTTGTTTATAACGAAAAATGAAAAAAATAAGAATAAAACAAAAGGCAGAGAATTTGAAGTCTTTTAAAAATGGTGGGTTGAAGAAGAAGAGGACTTGTACATGGGTGTGGGGTTATTTTCTTTTATAAATAAAGAGATAAATATTTAATTAAATGAGTTTTTAGTTATTTAATTAATACATGCCAAGTGTCAAGAAAATAATCACTAATTTATTTTTAAAAATTAAAAAAAAAGTTCATTCACACGCTCAACAGCAGTGAGTTACACTTATATCGCCACATCAGCATTTTGTATTTAATAGATATATGTTTTGAACAATTTAGGTGTTCAATAGGTACGAGTCCTAATTGAGATGTCCAAATGAATTATGCGGACAATTTTAAGAGGCTGTAGATGACTTAAGCCTATCCACAACTAATAGGAAAATATAAAAGATCATCATCATGGTAGTGTAAGATTGACAAGGCTCTTTTAGGCTATCAATAGTTTTGACGATGATTTTTAATCCCATTATTAGTACAGATCACAAGGTGTCGAAAGAAGGAAGTCGAAGCACAATGAATACACACACCCACAACAAAATTCATGTACAAGTCAAACTGGGAATAAATATATAGACGGACGACAACTGATGAAATCCTTCATCTAAATGAAGGCCGTCTGAAAAGAAGAGTTATTGCTTTTGACGACGAAGAAATTCCTTCATCTCAGTCAAAATATCAGCTTTAACAACGAGACGCATTCGCTTAGAGTCCTCCCACAGTAATCCTCCATATTCTCTGGCAAAATCACAGGCAGCCTCAAAGACATCCTAAAAGTAAGCAATAACAATCATGTTAGGCAAACAGACATTAAAAAGTTAAATCAAAATTAAGGTTGCAATGCAAATATCATGGTGCTTGACACTCACTTTAGAAGGGAATTCATCGTAGAAGTGGGCTGGCTCCATCTCAACCCGATTCAGATCAGATTCCCACAATCTAATCTGGCATGAGAAAGTGGTAGTTGAATTAGATAATTGGACAAGAACTTATTTTCCAATAAATCTTTTCATTGGTCTATCTTTGTCGATGGATTGGTTGAATAGATTTTGGTCGGCCATAATTGTGGGAACGTGTGACTTGTCAAGTACAAATTCTATAAGAGTCAATTAAATGTGGTGCAATTAGAGTAATATTTGGTTTTTAAAGCTGTCTTTCAGTTTCAACACTATGAGAAATAGTGAAGGAACCTGATCAGTAACATTCTCCGGCACAGATGGTATCCTCTCTGCAACCCTAGGATGTGCATTCTGCTGAAGGAAAGAAACTATCTGCAATCCATGCATTAAATCACAACAGCAGTCAAAACTTAACTTCAAGCGAAAGAAATTGTAGAGTAGCTGCTCAATTTGTGTTGTATAACTATATCCATACAGAATACTTCATAATATATCACTTGAAACATTTTGACGAATCACCATGACAGATTGTTTCCCATCTAATTCAATGTATTTGATAACTAAGGATAGGATAATTAGAACTCGAATATAAACCACTCCAGATAACTCAAGCAACGGTTTCCATTATGTCATATTTAACTCTTTCTAATTCATACAGAATCCTAAATGCGGTAGTTCAGTAAGAACTTTAGCACCAGAAGCAGGGCAGACTCAACAAACATTGGGGGCCTAAAGTGAAACTTAAGAGAGGGGCCCTAATTTTTTTTTCTATCATATGTACTTTTATTTAAAATATATTTTTGTAGCTATTTCAGATGCAAAGTCACTACGTACTGTTTTATAATCGATTTGTTTTAATAATTCCTTTTCAAATGATAATATAGCTAATTCAGTCAATCTATCTTGAGACATTGTTGATCTTAAAGAAGATTTAATCAATTTTAATTTCGAACAAAGAAAAATTTGGTTGAGGCAACGGTTGCAGGAACAGTTAACATTATCTAATTATAAGCAATATGTGTATTTGGAAAAGAATCAAATCTTTTTATTTGATTGAGTATTTTCATTACATCATTATCTTCTACTTGTATTATTTATATTTAACACTTTTAATTCACAAAATAAATCTAAACCATCAATTCAAAATAACTAGTACGTGTTAAAGAAAGTTCAAGGTTAAGACGATATTTTTAAAAAAAATGTCATCATCTAGTAATCTCAATATTTTACCACTAAATAAAATCAAAATATTTTATATGCTTCAATTGGTTCAAATCTATTTTAAAGTGAAAAAATAGTTTGATCTACTCTACATATACAACGTAATCAACTCTAAAGATTCTTCAAGGGACTTAGTGATCTCGTTATCCATATTTTCATCAAATTGGTTTCTTACGAAAATCATATGTATATTCATGTCATATGCAATTTCTTTAGTAAAAATCATAGCATTCATAGTACATGTAAAAATTTTTTTTAAAAAAACAACATATATAAGTAATTGTTTTTTAAAAATGGGGACCCCCAAAAATATGGGACCCCAAGCGATGGCTTTAGTGGCCTAGGGGTTAAGACGGCCCTGACCAGAAGCACAATAGGTTCCAGTAATTCCATTAATGCATTCAAGAGTGTGTGCTAATTTTGAAAGGTGTGAAACTACTACTAAACATGATAAGTGTAACACCCCGTATCCGAAACTGACCAAAAATGCAAATTTTGAGAAGTTGCAGGTGCAACCCACGGTTGCCATCCACGGACCATAGGTCAGACCACGGCCCGTGTTGGTGGTCCGTGGTTCACCACTGCAACCCCTCCCCAAACCCAGCTCAGAAAATCGGCTAAGTCTCGACCCATGGTCCGTAGGTCAAACTACGGTCCGTGGATCGAGGCCCCCTTTACCCAGCCTCTGACACAAACGATGGCCGACCAGCACGGACCGTCCTTCGATCCACGGTCCGTAGGTCTGACCGTAGGTGAGGGTCAGTAGCCAGTTAGAGGAAAATTGTTGATTAGGTCAACTTCAAATGGTCATAACTCTTAGCACAAAAGGAATTATGTGTCCCATGACCTATGATATGATAGATAATTGAATCATCTTTCCAACGCCATCGAGTTTGCTAAAATCCAACCTCCGAGTAAAAAGTTATGCTTGTTTTAGTGAATCCCTGTCGGGCAAACTACGGACTGTAGATTGACATACGGCCCGTAGGTCCCGTCCGTCGATCACTCCGACAGCAGTTAAGTCAGGGGTCTTTTGGTCTTTTCCTATTTCGTTGGACCCCTAAGCTACGTCGTTTAGACCCTAAATTATGAGGTTTTAGTCAGTTTAAACCTAGAAACATAACTAGAACTTATCTAAGTCAAATCATTTATCAAAACATAGAAAATTAGAAGCAAGAGAGAAGAAAAAGGTCAAGAACCCTAGTTCAAGAACGCAACAAGTTTTCTTCAGTTCCAGCCCAGAAATCAAAGGATTTCTCCGTGAAA